TGGTCAGAGAACAGGGGTAAATTACCCCAAATTGGGTAAAAATGAAAATCCTGGGGGTAATGAGGATGAGCAGAGTGACAATATTGATACTCTCATATCCAAGATGAAGCAACATCATTTTTCCAAAACCTGAAGTTTTCAAGCAAGTTGAAGCTTTCAAAGTAATTTTGAATATATTCAATAAGATTTTGAATTCAAATAATGTATAATTTCCTTCCTTTCAAATCAAGGCGGTAATGTCAGCATATAAATTTTTTTTTTGGGGGGGGGTAAAAGGTAAAAAGGTTTCCTGACTCCTGAACTAAACGAATGATAGCACCTGTAACCAAATGAAAAGACAGACTTCCATACTGTTTAGTCTTATTACCACACATCGACAATGTGTGGTAATTGGATGAAAGCTTGTTATTAGTAAGTATTAGTAAGATTCTCAGTCAGGACTCATTATCACAACCCACCAAGACAAAATTTCGAGGAATCTCCTGAGTCCCTTGAGAGATCTTGCCTCTAACATGAGACCAAGACGCCGTATTTCCTTGATGTGGCTTCTGCAATATGTACAAAATTATACTGTGGCTTTAAGCACTATATTGTTATGACTCATGATTTGTTTCCTTGTCATCTACCCCAGAGTAATGAATTGAGATTGTACACACACACACTCTTTCTCTCTTTCTTTCTTGTAACATTAATCTTACTTACTGTTCACGGTTACTGCAGTTTTACTTCTCAGTCAATATTTTGTGAAATAAAATATTTTGTGAAATAAAATATTTTGTGAGGTCTCTGCTGTTCCTTCCAAATCAAACAGACAATGTATTTTGAGAATTATGGAGTGAAAATTGTTGTTTTCTAACTCCCTGCTTCTGCATTAGTGTGTTTTGAAGAACATATCTGATTCCAGAATATATTTCTGTTGAACAGCAGGACTTGTCTATTTAACAAGCAGACTTAATTAGCAGCTCTTTCTCCTTTGTGTGTGGGTTTGTTCTCTTCAGAGACCCAGAAAGAATTCACTCTTACCTATACTGAACTAGTCTACTTTCTATAGTGAGTCCGATGTTTAATGTTGCTGTTGACTGTTTGCTCTGTTTTTTATACAGTGACTTTTAAATTTGTTTTCCTTTTTTATCTTAAAAGCAGTAAATGTAGGTTTTGTATTCTGAACGAATTGATGTGTTTCTACATTTTTAAAGACAGTAAAGTTACTAAAGATGGAAAAAAAACCAAAGAAAAAAGTATCTTTGGTTCTGTACCTGCCTGAACAGAAAAAAAAATCTAATTAATGATTGAACCCTCTCATTCAAGACATGAAAATATTGATGTACCCTTTTGGTGCTTTAAATTCCCATTCTAAATAAACACAAGGGGTGGCCCCTTTACTGGCAATTTTTAAAAGATTGATGAAAACCTGGTCCTTGATAATATACAACCAACAGAACACAGAGCATCTACCAACCCCTAAGTTAGTGACCTGCCATCTTGACCATTTATAATTATAGGGTATTCTGTGTTGTATTCTTAAGTTCCTAATGCTGATAATTGATTTATAATATTTAGTGTATGTCTATTTTCCATACTACTTGATGTTATTTTAATTTATTGTTGTTGATTGTTGTCCCATTTTCTGTTGCGAACTGTCCGGAGTGGCCTTAGTAGCCAGATAAGTTAAATAAATAAATATCCTAAAGAGATTCAGGGTATTGAACACAGAACCCTCTTTATAACTGATTGTAATCTACATGTGATAAAGGGAGTGTGGTAGCTGTTCTGGTTCTGGAGAAGCAACCTGGATATAGCATTCCCCCTCCCCCCACATTAAACTTCTAATGTTTGAAAAAAGCAGTGGAGGGTGCAGGACTAGCATGATCCCCTCATCTGATGTTGATTATACACAAGGTTAGTGAAACTCCCTTTCCCACTTAAACAGACTAGTTGGCCTGTACTAGTAAAGATTATGTAACTATGGCTAGGAATCTGCTGGAAATCTGTTGTTTGGAGTGGTTAAACTTCAGTACTGCAGTCAAGACTCTGCTCACAAGCTGAGTTTGAAATTGAAGACTCAAGGTAGCTGGCTCAAGGGTGACTCAGCCTTCCATTCCTCTGAGGCTGGTAAATTTCATACCCAGCAATGTGTAGCCTGCATGATTAAACTTTAAACTATCCAGAAAAGCTTTAAGTGCTGTGGGGTGGTATATAATCAGTACTGCAGTCAAGACTCTGCTCACAAGCTGAGTTTGAAATTGATGACTCAAGGTAGCTGGCTCAAGGGTGACTCAGCCTTCCATTCCTCTGAGGCTGGTAAATTTCATACCCAGCAATGTGTAGCCTGCATGATTAAACTTTAAACTATTCAGAAAAGCTTTAAGTGCTATGGGGTGGTATATATGCAGCACACTTTCCTTTGCTTTCGATACTATCAGAAATTGTTTTTCATTTTGGGCTTTCTACAGCATGATGCACTAAAGGCTTTCTAGTAAGAGTGTGCTGTTTACTTGAGGTAGAGGATTTTTTTTACAAAAGAGTTGTATCATGGCTGCCCATATTTTGACTGAGAATGATTGATCTGTGGCCTGAATTCCTTTGATGTGAAGGTGTAGCTTCAACCACACAATTTTTACTTTAAACTATAAGAGTCTCCTAGCGAGGGATAGAAACAAAGCCACAAACCAGAAAAGCAAATGAATCAGGCTGGTTGTGGTTCGGTTCGTGAACTGGTTCAGAACTGGGTACTTTTTTCCTCTTGGCACCCCATTTGGCTTGGGCAAAACAGATGCCCGTCTGCCCCTCCCCCACTGCCCCTGCCGCCTCCCTATCTGGTCATGTGACCTCCTCTGCCGCTGCTGCCATGAACACAGAGCGGGTGTTGGTTTCCCTGCCCAGAGCCAGGCAGCAGGCACATGCACAAAAGCCGCGAGCCAGGCTCCTGAAAGGGAAGCTGGCCCACGGTCTCGAACGATGGCAGAAGTGGTGGAGGAGGTAGGTCAGTGGGCAGTCCTTCTGGCATGAACCCGAACAATAAACTGCAAACCGGCTCATTTTGGGCGGAGTTTGTGATGGTTTGTGGTTCATGGATAGCCACAAACCATCACGACCACCAGCTTTCAGGTTTGTGCCTATCTCCGGTCTTCTTCCTTTTGTCAATATGGAATGTCATATTAAACCTGAACACTTGACTATAGCAAAGTTTTTTTTCTCTCTCTCTCTCTTCGGTAATGTATTTTGTTCTGTCTCTTATCTCTGCATGGAAATAGTGCTTTTTTTCCTTCTGCGAATTTAAGCACACACATTCAAGTACAAAAGGACAGGCTAATTGATCATAAAAAGACAAACAAGCCCATCCATCTAAAGCTTCTATTTTATTTTTCCATGCAGCAAAGCAGCAGTTCCATTTTTCCATTTGAGAATGGAACAGATTTTTTTTAAAAGTCTTGAATATGCAAACAATCTTGCTACCTCATTTGAAGGTCAAGGACTTTTATACTTTCTCCTCTACCGAGTGAGGAATAAGCCAAGTCAGGATTTATATGTCTGACTGCAACCCAGTGAACAGCAACAATGACAGCTACAACTGTCAAGCTGGCCAAACAGTTAGAACTGCTGTTCATGTTTATAAACAAACTTCTACCTGCAGAGTCATTGTGTGATTCCACTTAAGAGATAAAATAAATTGAGAAATACTTATTTATGTATTTATTTAATTTCTATACTGCTGCATTAGTCCAATGCACTACTGTGGGCTGTTTACAATTGGCTAAAACCACAATAAAGATAAGTCAAATAAAAACCAACATAAACAACACTAACGAACAACAGCACCGAGAGGCAGAAACTGCGAAATAAAATCAAACACCTTAAGCAGGGTTGCCCTCCCAAAAAATGTTTTTAAATGTCTTTTAAATATTGGGAAGGAGGGAACCAGGCAGCTCCATCGGCAGTTGGTTCCAAAGTGTTGGTGCTACTGAAAAGGATGACTGGCTTTTAGTGGATGATTTCCCGACCTCCCTTGGAGTGGAAACCCAGTGGATCATGGCCTGGGAGTACCTAGTGGAATGAAGTTGTGGCTCTAATATCTTTTTTTTTTCTTTTCTGTTTTGGTTATATCTCTATGTATTGAGCCATTTTCCTGTGTCTTTATCTCATGATTCATTTCCTCTTGTATCAATACTTTCCTATCCAGAATATGCAGCTGCTGCGGTGGCAACAAAAACAGAAGGCACAGAGGATGTCCAGAAGGTACAGGTAAGATGTTACAAGGACAATATGTGCATATTTGTCCTCCAAGCCATTGGAAATATTTGTTTCAGATGAAAAAAAATGTGATACTAATTCTACACATGATGCATGAGGAATAAGCTTCTTGTAATTAATGTCCTGGAAGAGTTCATTTGTAAGTGTTTCAAAATCATACCATGAAACCTTGTTATGGAGAAATAAATGGAGCAAAATCATGGTGCTAATTTATTTTGTAGCTAAATACTGGACAGCGAATGTGTGTGTGCCCTTCATAAATTGTTCAGCTCTAGACTATTAAGTGCCTAATAAAAGTAATGTGTGTAATGAATTTCAGCTTTTCTGTGTGGAGTGATTCAGTTCAAGACTATTGGGTTTAATATGGAGAAATGAGGTGATATGAAAGTGGTGCTGATGATCAGGCAAGGCTTCTTTTGCTGTCCAGATAATTAGCTGATGCGATGTGTTTCTCCATAACACTGCAGACTCAGTGATAGTGAGGACACTCCACATCCACTTTTAAAGCAAAATGGCACAAAATGGGCTGTTTACAATTGGCCCCTGCTGGCTGGATTTCTAAGTTCATTTGCTACTACTTTATAAAGTTATCTGTCTAGCCGGTGTTTTTCAAAACGTTTGTAGTGAAATCCAGTAAGAAACGGAACACATTTAGAATTATAGATCTATAAAGCTGGAAGAGAGCACAGGTGTAATCTGGCCCAACCTCTGCCGGTGTAGGAGACTACAGTAGGAGTTATTAGTAATTATTTATTTATTTAGGCATTTTATCTTACAATTCCTTCAGGTATATTGGGTGCTGGGTGTAATTCTCCATTATGCTCTATGGTGGGGAGTTTGGGACCCATTCAACCCATGATGTGACACACAGGGACAGTAGAAAATCCTGTGTCCAGCAAGCACTTCTTGACTACTTACAAACTGGATTGGTGCACCTCAATTCTGGATTACCCATGGGATTCGGCTTTCACTATGCCTGAGAATGCATTGTTTTCGGTGTATCATGAAGTATGCAGAACACCATTTCTAGCGCAGAGCAGTCTGGGTGCATGGCAATGGTTGGGGATACATTTTAAAGACACTTTTCTGTGGCCAGGTGGTGCTGGGGATTGACCACTGGCCTGGGCTGCCTTCTTAGACCTACTTGTTTGACTTTCACAGTTATTAGTTCCTCTGTTTTTATTTTTATTTTTCTTGCTCACACTTCTGTTTTCTGCCTCCAGTGCTTCTCAAACAAACATGTTTCCTTTTAGGAGCACTAGGAGGAAAATGTTCTCCTCCTCCTCCCAGAAGCTGCACTTAAGCATTCTCCAAGGACAGGGTTGTTGTGCAGAGTCAGTGCATTTCTCCTTTTTGTTTGTTTGTCTGCCTTTCATGGAGTCTGGAGAGAGCTAAGAAATCAGTATCTTCCCTGCATTTTCTCCTGCAGCCTCAACCACTCTGTTGCCAGCCCTGCTGAGGAGCAGTTCTGGCAAACCACTGGAGGCAAGATCTGCCTTTCCTACAGGAACTCTTCTGATTTCAGCAGTTCTCATCCACCTGGGGTATTCTTGAACTGACAAAGGCAATAATCTTACTGAAAACATTGAAACTGCTTCCTGGTCCAGCAGTCACCCAGTTCTCCATCAGTACAGGAGTAACGAAATCTGTGCCTATACGCAATCTAAAACATTTTCTAGATGGGAATTGCATGACCAGTGTGCAGGCTGGGGGTGTGAGGGTGGACGAACACTGTGCCTTTTGCTTCACTGTTCTTGGAGGAGGACAGGAAAAGAGTCCTTTTTGTGCCAGGAGAAAGAAAACAAGAACCGGAGGGGGGGGGGATTCTCTTCTTCCTCCAACTACTGTTCTAGCTTATGCAAGATAGCAGCAGAAATATGCTCCAGTCACCCTCCCCCAAGTAATACAAGTGTGTGTGTGTGTGTGTGTGTGTGTGCATGCGTGCGTGCGTGCGTGCATGCGTGCGTGCTTGTGGCTTTCCTCCTGTGCCATACTCCTGACGAAACCCTGTCCCCAACATAAGCACATGCACACTCTTCACAATAAAAGAGGCAAACACACCTTCAAGCAATGTGTTTACCATTGTGACTTAGGTTTGCTCTTTGGATACAGTACTTTGTTATGTCCTGTTTCTTTGTACCTTACGAATTTGGCAAAAGTCTTTTACTTTGGAAGCTGTAATCTTGCAATCGGAGTGCATCATATTCATTTCTTGGTTTAGATTTGCTTTATGCTCCGGGCTGGAGTTAGTGAACAGCATACTATTTCCTCATCTTGGTTAGTCTCGCCATATTTCTTTTAGATTACGAGCAGGGCGCAGAGACTGAGACTGTGGCTTGGCACGAGCCATGTGCTGACAGCAGCATTGGACACTGAAACAAGCAGGAGGAAAGACATTGCAAAGCCCACAAGGTTTTATCTTGCTTGTTCTGGATCTCTGAAGCTGGGATAGCCCATCCCTCTCTCCTTACAGGGAAAGGGCCATGCGCTCACCTGTGGGTATTTGAAGAAGGCAGCAGCAGAGGGGAGCAACTAGCTCTGCATGTCTGAAGTTGATCTCCCTGTTCAGCATCTGGATTTAAGATTTATAGGTCAGTTCACTAGATAGACTCCTTGGATTCAGCACAGTACACAAAATATTTGTGTTATTAAAGTCATCTGTTTCATTTTACATTATAGAACCCTTCTAGTGTGTGTCTTGCTTATTTTTCTTAAGGAGTGCCTCTATCCCAATCAAAATAATATTTGTGGGTCTGGTTCTTGCTAAATTTCAGTTTCAGAAACATAATAATGATAGGGTTCTTAAATATTTTCTTCATCCTAGATATGAATTTCCTGCATCAGCCCAGTACCTGTCATCAAGAAAAGCATCTGACCCTCCCATGCCATAAAGTTCTTTTTTTCCTCCCAAATGAGCACTAAGGTTGTTGATTGTTCTACTCAAATTATAGGCCACATTGGAACCTTGTGTACCTCCTCTAAATTTGGCAGTTCTGAGACACGGAAGACGGATTTATCTTGTAGAGTTATTCATGTATTTTCCAGGAATATGAAAAGAAAAATGGTGACTTCAGATATCTCTTGTGTGCAACACATTTAGGAACATGATGTGAGAGGCATTCTGCTGCATCATTATTTTTAGGTTATATGTTGGGAGGCAAATTTGTCTTATTTTTAACTTCTGCGAAACACCAAGCGCTAATTTTTGTGAAGCCATTTCATGTGCTGTATAAATAATCATCGTGTTTTGGGTGTGAGCACTGTAGGACAGTGATAACTGATAACTGGCTTCAATAAAATACTTGTAGTGGTATCTGCATCCAGGGTGCAAACCACTGAACTGGGTTTAAAAGTTCTTATTTTGACTAGATGATATGATACTATAACACACTATTGAATTGTTTGTTCCCTTCTAAAAATGCTTAAGGCCATTCTATAGTTAATGGTTTTAAAATTTATTATTATTAGCTTAACAATAGTGGACCTAATCCTGACCAATGGTGGCAGTCCATAACATCTATGGGGACAAATAGCAAAACGGGAATGGGGAGTTAATTTTCAGCAAAAACCTGTTTTGATGCCCAGTCTGGATTGGAAGCATATCTCAAAGAAAGCCCCCCTGAGTGATGCTTTTAAGGACATTGTTTCATAGTGTAAATAGTGTCATTGGTCAAGCAAAAACAAAATGAAAATAAAAAAATTAAAAAGACAAAAACATTGTTGGACTTTAAAGACTAATTGCTATATTTTAATGTGACAAGTCCACTTCTTCAGACATGATAGTGGGACTGCATGGCAAATTTTTATATGGTTATAAAAAGGTAAAGGTAAAGGTTCTCCCTGACATTTTTTAGTCCAGTCGTGTCCGACTCTAGGGGACTGATTGTTTCCTGGGCATGGGTAGATGATGATGTGGCATTTATTTTATTATTAATAATTTTATTTCAAATATTTTTACCCCATCTTTCTCCTTGAAAAGGACCCAACGTGGCTTACATTAAATGACAGTAAAGTTATACTACGATGAGTATACAAATACAAACAGGCTCAAACAAATAACATAATCAAAACATAAGCCACAGCAAAATAACATTCAAAACAGTTGGGTACATTTCCTGCCTAGCAATGTCCATTAAGATTCCTGTTGATATTCATTTCCCCTTCCAGGAAGCATTGCTTAATAAATGTTGTTCAGAGATTATGATACTTATTACTAGAGGGCAGATTTTATCTGCAACCCACATTTGAACCCATAAGGGAATTCAAGCATGTTTATAAGTAATCTGGCAATTCTCACCAGATAACTCACAACTTCTTCAAACCACCCATAAACTCAAACATAGGCTGCAGGGGAAAAATGACATGTTTTAGAAATCCTCCCCCTACTCATTACCATATTGTTCCCCTTTGTTATCAAGTGGAACAACATAAATTAAACCTGCAATCATTGTCATTGTTTACTGAACAATGCTTCCTGGAAGGGAAACTGCATCTCAACAGGGATCTTAGTGGTTGTTACCAAGTGTGAAAATGTCACATCATCAAATACTGGTGCCTAGGAAACAATCAGTCTCTTTGTTTTGATGAGGGTATAACCCCTTCTTGGATTGCTGCCTTGTCCTGGTGAAGGGGCTTGAGTAATTCAGGGAAGCCATGGGCTATGCCGTCCAGGGACACCCAAGATGGACAGGTCACAGTGGAGAGTTCTGACTAAACATGATCCACCTGGAGCATGAACTGGCAAACCATTCCTGTATCTTTCCCAAGAAAACTCCATGGACAGACAAAAAAAGGCTAAAAGATATGACCCTGGAAGATGAGCCCCTCAGGTTGAAAGGCATCCAACATGATACTGAGGAAGAGCAGAGGACAAATACAAGTAGCTCCAGAGCTAACGGAGTGGTTGGGCCAAATGCTCAGCTGCGTACGTGCATGGAGGTGAAAGGAAAGTCCAATGCTGCAAAGAAAAATACTGCATAGGAACCTGGAAT